TTGTTGGGATTTCTTTTGGACTTATTTGTCTTTTTCTTATTTATAGGAAACTCTTAATGTCGTTTCTTGTACATTCTTGATACCAACCGCTTCTGTTGTATGTTTCAATCTTTCTCATTTGGATCTTTCTGATCATGCTTTTTCTATTTACTATCTCTATAATTTTGGGGACATGTTTAACTTCCACAGAACCATCTTCATCCATTATAAAGTGAGAATACACCACTTCTTAGTTATTTTGTTACTGTGAAATGCAAATGAAAGAGTGTATGAGCTCTGTGATTTGGGGGGGGGGTATCTTTTTTTATTTTCACCAGCCATTTTCTCAAATATAAAGGGAGAATACACTACTTTTTAGGTTAATTATAAAATACCAATGGAAAAGCATATGAAAGTGCTTTGGAAAGTCAAGAGTATCTTTATTTATTTATTTTTATAGTAATACAGATGTCCCCCAATTTCTCCCGACCTTTACCCCCCTCCTCCCAGCCCCTGCCTATCCCAGGCCTTCACTACACTATTGTCTGTGTCCATTAGTTGTGTGTGTGTGTGTGTGTGTTTGTAAAGTTATTTGGTTAATCTCTTCCCATCTCCTCCCCACCCTCCTCCAACTCCCCCAGACATGTCAGTCTGTTCCTTGCCTCCTGCCTCTGGACCTGTTTTGTTTGTCCATTTAATATGTTCATTAGATTCCACTTATAAGTGAGATCATGTGATATGTGTCTTTCTCTGACTGGCTTATTTCACTCAGCAAGAATTTCTAAGAGTTCACTAAGAAATCCTTTTTTACTGCTGCATAGTATTCCATTGTGTAAAGGTATCATAGCTTTTTTATCTACTCATCTACTGATGGGTACTTGGGCTGTTTCCAGATCTTAGCTATTGTAAATAATGCTGCTATGAACATAGGGGTGCATATATTCTTTCTTATTGGTGTTTTAGGCTTCTTAGAATATATTCCTAGAAGTGGGGTCACTGGGTCAAACAGTATTTCCATTTTTAATTTTTTGAGTAAATTCCATACTGTTTTCCATAGTGGCTGCACTAGTCTGCATTCCCACCAACAGTGCACAAGGATTCCCTTTCTCCACATCCTCGCCAGCACTTCTTGTTTATTGATTTATTGATGGCAGGTATGAGGTGAAACCTCGTAGTCGTTTTAATTTGCATCTCTCTGATGACAGTGCATTGAGCATTTTTTTATATGTCTCTTGGCCATCTGTGTGTCCTCTTTGGAGAAGCGCCTATTCAGGTCCTGTGCTCATTTTTTAATTGGGTTGTCTACCTTTTGTTGAGCTATATGAGTTTTTTATGTATTTTAATATATAAAGAGGAAATTAACTTCCTATCAGATGTGTCATTGGCAAAGAATATATTTAAATGTAAGGCATTTTTGTTTTTTCTTGGCTTTATTATGACTCATCCCTAGGAGCTGGCTTTTGTGAAGCATTCCACATCTCTACAGATTGATCAAACTGAGGGGTAGGGTGGGTGTCACAGCATAGCACTTGTCTCTTTTTATTCTACCCTCTCTTAGAGGAGGAAAGAGGTGCATAAACAAGATATGCTCACATTGAATTCCATGTTCTTGGAATGCATTGTGTGGGATGGAGGTGGAGAAGAGCAGTATCAGGAGAATTTCATTTCTTTGCCTCTCACAGTGCTTGTCCCAAGGACTGACATAGTAGAATCTGCCCATTTATGGAACCAAATGTCTACAAGGTTAGAATTAGCTTGCCTTTGTTACTATTCTGGTCTACTTCTCAGTTTGAATAGTTTTAGAAGCAGCTGTTCTATTCCACTGTAGTAGGGAAGTACGAGGGTACATCTCCTGTTCCCATTCACTTTTGACTGATGACTATCCTCTGCAAACAGATAAGTAATTAACACATGATATCACCCTATGTGTGGGAACACTCATATTCAGACACTGCCTTAGACCTAGACAACTCTGTGCCCCTGCCCTATGCCCCATGCTTTAGAGGGCCCTCCTTTGGTCATACCTGTCTTTTTCTAGACCACTCTCCAAGTACCCAGGACCCAAGAATTACCTGACAGAATGTTTTGAAGCTACTTCCAGGACCTACAGAACCTCTTTCTGAGTTCATCCTCCCAAAGCTGGATCAAACCATTAGACCCCACCCTTGATATGTGCTTTCCTAGGTCAGGGCAGCCAAGGGCCACACCTTGAGAGGGCTGTTCCCAGAACTTAAGTGTATAAAGCTACTTGAGGTACAGGAAGGAACTGGGGTGTGGAAAGAGTAAGAAGGTGGATTGGGGGGCCAGAATCCTCCATTTGTACTCTGACCCAGCCCTGCAGCTGTCAGGGACAGGGCTGCCCAGAGGAGCCTCTTCCTTCCGACCAATTGCTTATTTTATGGGTTAAAAAAAAGCTATAGGGTAAGATTTTTTTTACCACCCAGTTAGAGACTGAGTATAGCTGGCTCAGTAGAGACCCCAATTGATCTTGGAGAATAATCCTCAAAGAGAGTGGGATGGGGAGGTGGAATGGTGAATTTCCTGAAGGCAGAGGCTCTGTGCCTCTCCTCTGTCAGTCCCCTGGGTAGGCAGTGCTGCTGATGCTTTGTTAAAAGGAGAAAAGATTCTGCTGACACGCTGTATTTTTATGAAAGAAGGCTGAGGGTTCCCTTATCTCACCACACAAGGCACATCTGCCTGCAAACAGGCTGTCTCCTTCTTAAGGATTCCTTCATCGTTCTGTTTCCTTTCTGAATGTTTTAAGGCACAGTTTCGTGCATTCCTGTCTGTTCTCTAGAGCCAGGGGAAAGTCATAATATATCAGGGCTCTTGCTAAAAAGCTTAAAATGGGCGCTGGCAGCTGGGATGTGGGGGAAGAGAGCTTTCCAGGGACAAGTGACCTGCTTGTTTAGCCAATGAGGAGCAGGTTAGAGGAATGATATCACCAGACAGGCTTTATTGTCTGATCATCTCATAAAAGCAGGATTGTGTCTGGCAACTTAACCCTTTTTTAGGTACTTTGGGTCTCACCCACTCCCTGGTATGTGACCTCCAGATTCCTTTCCCAGTTGTCTACTTTGAGACCACAGAAGTTAAAGACTTAAATTGGTGAAGAAATTTGGAGAGTTGTAAATCATCATTTAAAAACGCAAATTATTAAAATTTAGAACCACAGCTAAGATGGGAATGTCAACTAAGCTGTGTTTGGAGAGCACATCTAAAGCAGATAGCAGTGTAAGTCATGTTACATCGGACTGTTTCTATATAGGCTTGGGAGAGAAAGGAGGTTAAAGGGGAAAAAAGATTTAGCCTTTAGTCTGTTTTAATCTTTGTGATAGAATCTTATTAAGTACATATATCCTGTTTTGGAGGAATTGGAGTTGGTTCTACAGATTTGGAAAACATCACTGATTCGAAGGACAATTTCAAGTAACTGGTATCTGTAGTGCTTGTTTATATTGTATGTTTTTATTGTTGCCCCCATTCCATAAAAATGGTAAATTTTACTTCTTCATGCTTTCTTTTTGTCACTGGTAAAATGAGGGTAGTGATTTTACCCTGTCCCCTAGAGGAGTTGAGATTAGAAAATAAAACTAATTCATATGGTTTTAGACTGTGCTACACTCATGTATTATTATTAGGACATTTATGTCTTAAGATTTTTCAGAAGATATTTTTAAATACCTTCTTGATGCTGGGCACAGATACAGAGATAAGATGTGGTTCTAACGCAAAAGGAATTTAAAACACTGTGAGACAGACACTAATTTAAAAAGTATCATACATCTATTGCATTTACCATGTGCCAGACCCTGTTCTAAGGACCTTGACATATATTAGCTTATTTAATCTTACTACAACCCTATGAAATATTGTGTTTAGCTTCATATTACACACAAAGAAATCAAAGCACAGAGAGGCTAGTGACTTGCCTAAGGTCACACACTAGTGATAGAATTGGGACTTAAATCCAGACAGTGTTATTCTAGAGTCTATTCTCTAAATCTGTGCTGACCAATACAGTAGTCACTAGCCATAGATGGCTTTGGAGCACTCGAAATATGGCTAGTCCAAATTGAATTGGTCTGTAAGTGTGAAATACATAATAGATTTCAAAGACCTAGTATGAAAAAAATATATTGAATACCTCATGTTGAAATTGCATGTTGCAATGATAATATTTTGGATATAAAGAGTAAAGTTAAATATATTAAACTTCCACTTTATTTTTGTGGAGAGTAGAAAACTTAGAATTATATGTATGGCTTGCATTTGTGCTTACAGTTTTATTGGAATGTGCTGCTCTGTCATTAAATACAATAATAGCAGTAATAGTAGTAGGTGACATTTATTGAGCACTTACTGTGTGCCACATACTGTGCTAATACCTTTACAAACACTATTTCAATTCAGCTTCCAAATAGCTCTGTTTATTATCCCCATTTTATGGAAGGAGTAGAAGGTTTTGAAAATGTCAGTAATTTGCCAGAGGTTAGTCAACTAGTTAATGACAGACCCCAAATTTAAAACCATTTATGTCTGACGCAAAAACCTGTACTCAATCAGCACACTGTATTACCATTTCAATTATATCTCAGGGCATTTTTCTTGGGTTTATTTTTCAAAGAATATTTAATATTATATATTTCTATATTTGGTGTTCAAAATAAAAATCACTAGGTCATAAAATAGACATCCTAGAAGGAAATTTCTTTTGCAGAGCCTTGGCCCTCAGTGTACACTGGCACAATTGAGCACCGAGATGAAGCAGTGAGTTAGTCTGTACAAATTGCATTAATTTTCATTACAGTGGTTCTCTCAGGTCACTGGGCAATTTATGTCCCAACCTCTTGATCCACGAGAAGAGGAAGAGGGGCAGTGCAGCTCTTCTTAGTTGTTTCATTTTCTTGGCTGAGAAGAAGAAAAAATTGCTTTTCATTTCATTGTCCCATGAAATGCTGTTTGTATTCGAGAGAGCAACAAAATGCTATCTAATGACTCCTGACTTTTCTTTTTTCTAGAGCAAAGACTCAGGCGGATTAAAGGCGGCTATGATAGAGTTGGTGGAGAGGTTAAAGTTCAAGAGCTCAGACCCTAAAGTAAGTATTGTTTGGAATTTATTGAATAGTGGTACCCTAAGTACAGGTATCCCCTACTTTTTGAAGTTCACTTTGCTTTTATGAAAGACCTTCAGCCTTTGTTTTGCAATGAGCTGTTACAGAGGCAGCACAACCCCGAGGAGCAAGTGGCCCTACCAAGCTCCTTCCTGAAGAATTGCACTCAACATCTCAGTATCAGCTGCTACAGCTTTGGACTGTGTCTGTGAGCATCTGCGTTTTATCTCCATTTATTTTGTGCATCCGTTAGCAAGATGTGTCCTAAGATATCAGAAAAGCCTAAGAGAGTTCCTAAGGGTGTTCTGCGTAGCGTAAAACTGGTAATTAAGCATATTTGGTATGATTTGGTAGGTGATATTTTTGGGTCTGGAAACACTAAAAAATGTTTCCATATAAGTTAATGGTAAATACTTCTTTGCTTTATGCCGTTTCAGCTTACTAAAGTTTCATAGGAACAGGGAAACCTGTATTTCATTCTCCTTGAGCTAAGTTCAAGAGATGTTAACAATCATCCATCAGAATACTGCATCAAGGTCTAATTAAGCCTGCCCATCAAAAGCAGTGTTCTAATATGCCTAGAGATAAGTTATCTATTTTTCCCTTTCTGTATTTTATGGCTTACAACACATAATCATTAATTGTTTTCCCTGAACTACAGACAGGTGCATTTTTAATCTTCTTTACCAGGCCTTTGAGACTATTGTCCTCTTTGTCCATTAAATTCAGCCAAAGGCATCTGAGATACTGATCAGCTTAATGCTGGGGACTGGAACAGGCTCCAGACCCATCCAGTTGGTGTTCAGCATTAGCATTTTTGTCTCTCCCCAACTTACAGGAGCCAGCTGCCACTGAATGCTTTTGTCCTCATGACCTGGAGTCTGGTCTGGGAAATTGTTTAAGCTTCCCTGCTTTCTTTGCAAGATGCTGAGGCTGTAGAATTGATATTCTGGGAGATGCCGTACCAAGGTGGGGGTGGACTGGGAGCTGAACTTGCTGGAGGGATTATGACTAATACAGCCTCCCTTCTCCTGCCCAGATACTTACTGTGGCACCACCTGGTAGTGGTGCCAGCTGGCTCAGCATGAGAGTCAAAGCTGCTCACAGTTAAATTGGGAAAGGAGCATGATCGTTTGAATTTTTGTATCTTCTTTTTTACTTTCATTTAAAGTTCTTTATAAGTCTGGCCGGTGTGGCTCAGTGGTTGAGCATCGACTGGTGCACCAAGAGGTCACCGGTTCGATTCCCGGTCAGGACACATGCCCAGGTTGTGGGCCCAGTCCCCAGTGGGGGGCATGCAGGAGGCTGCCAGTCGATGTACTCTCTCATCGATGTTTCTGTCTCTCTTTCCTTCTCACTTCCTTTCCCTAAACTCAATAAAGGAAAAATAATTTTTAAATCTATTATTAAAAAAATAAAAATAAAAAAAGTTCTTTATAAGTGGACTAGTATTTCTTGAACACATACTGGGGGCTAGGCACTATGCTAGGAATCTTACATACTTTTAAAAACAATCATGGTAAAATATACATAATGAAATTTACCTTTTTAATAATTTTTAAAACTATTAAAGTTCAGTGTACAGTTCAGTGGCATTGAGTACATTCACATTGTTGTGGAACCATCACTACCATCCATCTCTGGAACTTTATTATCTGAAACTGAAACTCTGTGCCCCTTCCTTAAACACTAACTCCTTATTCCACCTCTCCTCTCACATACTCATGATTACTTTAGCAACTCTATAAAGTAGCTATTATTCCCATATCATTGAAAAGGACACCGAAACTCAGAGACATAGGGCCACTTGCCCCAAATCTAGTAAAATTTAGAGCCAGGATTCAAACTCTAGTGCCTGTGCTCTATATTTTATGTCATGCTACAGACCAAGCCCTGGGTTTCATCTCCTTTCTACCTTATAATCACATTGTGCTTCTGTTTTTTAATCTGAAATACTCTATGAGGCAGTCACAGAAAATGACAGGCTCTTCAAAAGTCAGCTGCAGTCACCAATCACAGATTAATTTTCATACAGCTTTGAAAGTATTTGGGCATTGGTAATTTTCTTGCCTTATGGTGTAGTTAGGGTTCTAGAAGTAGAGAGTATCTTGATAGAAAAAAATTGGGATAACCTTTATCAATTTTCTTAGCTCGATGTTAAAAGATTTCTGGTATAAGAAGTTTCTCTTTAGTGAAGATGAATCAATGAATTATTAAAGATCACTGAAAGCTTTTTTTTAAACCAAATTTCTCTGGTTTCTGTGATCACAGTTATACTGTATGTTTAGTTTCTGCCACACCCACATGCTTTTAGGCAGTGAAGATCAAGAGAATATGTACAAATTATACTGAGTGGCTTCTGTTCATGGTGATAAACACAGGTAAAGTGCTTTGGGATCCTTTGTGAATGCATGTAGTACTTCTGATGGGAAACTTGCCAGAGGTGAAAGAATTGAGTGGTCCCGTGAGAGTAACCCATGGAAGTCTCAGCATTTTCCCATGATGCACCATAAGCTGAAGGATATTTGTTAGGACCTCACTTGATCTTGAATATGTATATATTCACCTCTCTTTTTTCTTTATCTTGTCCTGGATTATTTTCCACCAACCAGTTTTATTTTTATGCCTCTTTGTAGTCTGTCATATGCATACGCTGTATCTACCTGGAGCCAGCTTAAAGAAGGACCACTATAATTATAGAATGACTACCAGATCACAGAGTGAGGGATGGGGAAAAATGGGACACTTAAATACATAATTTCTGTAACAATGACAATTTTCCCAGCGATAAATTGGTGTCTTCCGAGAAAACCCTTTTTTACTTTCATTTAAAGGGTTTTAAGTTTTTAGTCTGTTCTGTTTCCTCATAAGCCCACCATCCCTTTTTATAAGTTGGCCTGTTTAAGAAAGAATCTCTCAGGCTTTATGACCTGTCATTTCCTGGTACAGCAGCTTTACACAGAAGCACTGATTGAGTTATGGAGCACTGGGCACTATCTCTACCTCACTTCCTCTGAAATTCCCTAAGCATCACAAAACTTGATTAGTCCAGACACTGAAGTCTCCTGGGGACTGAGTTAATTTTTACCTGCAAATTTTGCCAGAGAGGAGTGGAGGATACCTAGATTAGCCATTTTTTAAATTTAAAAATAGTATATACTTATAGATTAAAAAACCAGATATTCATAAAGAAAAAGGAAAATGAATTTTCCCCAAGTTAACCACTTCAACAGTTTATTGTGTAACCTTCTAGACATTTCCATGTGGAAATACACTTCTAAGATTTTTTAAATTATACCTATAGTTTTATTACACAGACTATCTTAGACATTCTTCTTTGTCAATAATACAGACTTAATGAGATGCCTCATTTTGTCCAAAATATTTTTTAAACACCTCTTCCCTTTCAGAATAGTAGTTCTTCAACTTTAGTGTGCATGAAATCACCTAAAAAACTTACTAAAATACAGGGTGTTAGGCCCACCCCCAGAGTTTCTGGTTCAGTAGTCCTGGGGTGACTAGAGACTGTGCTGGACCTTGGCTATGTTCCTTCTCTCTTAATTTGATTTTTTTCATTCTTTTTAGCAAACAGCCTGAAGATCCTCATAAATAAATTCAAGTGATTTCAACTTTGAAAAAAAATGAAATACATAGAAATCCAGGCTTAGAAGACAAATAAATTGAGCCAAGATAGCAAAGGAGTAGGGGCAGGGAAGGGAAGTGGACTGAAGAGTCAGCTCAAGCTGCCTGGGAGGACAGGATTCCTTTAAAGAGTCATACCAACAGAGAAATAGCAAAGCCAGAAAGAGGGGAAGGAGTCCTGGTCAGGATTTAAGAGGGTGATCAAGGCCTATGCCATGGTCCAGGAGTGGGCTGACTTCTAAAACGGGGAACGGCAGGAGACATCAAATCCCAGACACTAAGGGGGAACCTGAGGACAGGAATCAGAGCCAGTGATGGTTGGTGAATAAGGCATAGGACCAGAGGAAGCTGTGTGCGTGCATGTTACTGTGGCAGCCCTGTTTCAAAGGGAACATGCCCCCAAAAATCTAGAACTTTGTATATAGTGGAAAGAGATTGTTTTTAGTAACAATCAGTCTCTAGTTTGTTTAACTGGAAGTGGTCTTTTCAATATAAGACATCCTAATGTGTTTGACATGATCCAGTTTGCAAATACCTTTTTCAGCCAAGCTTTTCAGAAACATTTATTGCACAAAACAGAATTTTGTCTGTAAATTGCTTATATTTGTGATAGACTTTAGGGAAATTAAAAGATACCATTAATCAGGGAGTGTGTGTCTGTACCTGGATTTTTAACAAATTTAAACTGTTCTGAGTTTTTACAGCTTTTCTTTGTAGTGATTAACTAGGCAGTTATCTTTCATAGTTTACCCAGAGGAAACTGAAGCTTAGAAAACACATTGAGCCCTGGCTGGTTTGGCTCAGTGGTTAGAGCATCGGCCTGCGGTCCGGAGAGACCCGGGTTCGGTTCCCGCTAAGGGCACGTACCTCGGTTGCAGTTTGTCCCCGGCCCTGGTTGGGTCGTTCGGGAGGCAGCCACTCGATGTGTCCCTTTCACGTGATGTTTCTCTCTCTATATTTTCCTCTCTTTCCCTCCCACTCTATCTGAACAAAAAATGGAAAAATGTCCTCTGGTGAGGATTAAAAAAAAACACAACAAAACACATTGATTCCCTTTACTTCCTTCTTCCTGCCCAGTCTCTCAGAGAGCACTGAACCAAAAGCATAACAATGCTAGGCTCATTCACACTAATCTCTTATTGTACAATTAATAGCAGCCACTTTCTCTGTTATATACTGGTTGCTTTTCTTTCCATCTAAGATGTGCTGTTCATTGTTTCCTATAGCTGGCATGCTTGAAACAAACAGTTAAAAACACACTTGTGTATTGCAAATTAATACTAATCTTATAAGAAGTTATTCTAAAAAAGGTGTCTTCAAATTTGAACCAAGTGGTTCACATT